CCATTATTTCTTGTAATTTTGATGATTATGGCTTACAGATAATGAAAACCCCAAACTCAGTGTCTCAGAAAATTCAAATACTGTTTTGTGATAAAGTTCCATTTTGGAAATTCATGCACACTATGTATTATGTGCAGAGGAATAGACATGAGCTACAAATGTATAATTCCTCAAGTCAAGTCACTCCTGAACCAGAGAAAATGTCAGAACCGTCTTACCTGCTGAGGACAAAAAAAAAACTGGACTGTTGCTCAGTGGTCTAATGTCCTCTTCTCAGATGAAAGTAAATGTTTGTGTCATTTGTAAATCAAGGTCCCAGAGCCTGGAGGAAAAGTGGAGAGGTCCAGAATCTAAGTTGTTGAAGTTTCCAAAGTCAGTGATGGTTTGGGTCCATGTCATCTGCTCGTGTTGGTCCACTGTAATTTAAGAAGTCCAGAGTCATCACAGCATGTACCAGGACATTTTAGAGCTCTTCATGCTTCCTTCTGCTGAAAGCTTTATGGAGAAGCTGATTTCATTTTCCAGCAGGACTTGGCACCTGCACACACTGCCAAAGGTATCAAAGCTGGCTGTGGAATATTATATATTTCTGAAACAGTGATTTTTAAAAAAAAATTGTAAGCCATAATCATCATATTTCACTCACATTATATAGATTTATTATACATAGTTTCACTTTCTGTAAAGACTGACAAAAAAATTGAACTTTAGAGGTGCACCCTTACAGACTGTAAAAATTGGCTTTGCATATGCTTAACATCTGGGGTTCCCAACACTGCAGGGGTCAAAAGTTCAATTTTGTCACATGTAACTCTAACCTGAAAGGCAGTATTGTGTGCAAACATGTTGCAACAACATATTAGATCACTTGTATCCCTGCAGCAAACACTCAGTTGACGACTGTATAATTCAATCTGATGCCCGCAGTGCCATTTAATTTGAGTTGTAATGTCTGCATGGAAAACTCTGCTTACAATTGCCAGATTTCTACAACACAATATTTTTTAACAAGTCAGAGTGTAAATAGTGATACATGAAGCTGCAGTCACAACAGTAAACAGAACATATGAAAGTGAGAGTTAGGCCCCAGTAAAGGCCTGCTGATGGTGGGGTAGAACTAAAAAATGCAGGAAACCAGGCAGGCAGGAAGATATTAAAAAATGACAAAAAAATAAATAAACAAAATCCAGACAGGCAGAGTAACACTGAGAGCAAGAAAGTCTTCTTTTTCTTTCAGCTTTTCCCTCTTCAGGGTCTCCACAGTGAGTCATCCTCCTCCACCTCATGCTGTCCTCTGCATCCTCTATCCTCACTCCAACTACCTCCATGTCCTCTCTAACTGCATTCATTTATCTCCTTTTTTGTCTTCCTCTGTCTTTTTCTTGCCAGCTGCATTTCTAACATCCTTCTACCAATATACCCACTGTCCCTCCTATGGACATGTCCAAACTATCTCAGTCTGGCCTGTCTAACTTTATCTCCCAGTTGTTCGACCTGTGCTGTACCTCTGATGATCTCATTCCTAATCTTATCCATCCTTGTCATTCCTAATGGGAACCTCGACCACACCTCTAATGATCCAGTATGGTGTCACTTAGATGAACTTGCATGCTAGTTTTGACAAAAGTGTTTTATGACGAATGCCTTTCCTGAGTCCCTGAGGCTCACTGGGATTAACCTGTCTAAATAAAGGTTGAATGAATGAATGACACAACTCTCACCATATACCCGGGCTTGTTATCTGCACAAGAAATACACTGGCTTGTGCTCCCTAGTGGCTGGTTTAACACTGGGAGCAAGAACACTAGGTAAAATAAAGTAACTCGAAATAGAATCGCAATGATCTGACAATTAGGGGTTTTCTACTAATGAGGCTCTATTGCCTTACCATTACTGGAGCTAGGGCTAGTTCTTAACTGGTTCTAGTTAGGAGCCAGTTTGTTTTTTTACTGCCAGAAAGTCAACTCAGAGATGGATCGTCACATCAGTTAAACATCTCTTCCACTAAATGATTAATCTTTCCCCTAAGGTAGTTTAATTTTTTTGAAGAAGATCACAGAGCAGCCAGACACTTTACCTCCCCAAAGGCTTTGTGTTATAATTCCTGCAAACATGTCTTTATACCACCAGTATGTCATAAACACAGTCTAAAACATGGTGTTTGTGAATGCTCATTTCTGATTTTTGATATTGTTTGTAAATGCTGCTACCTGAAATGCACACATTTCAAACAGTTTCTACAAACATCAAGTAGCAACATTAATAGCCAAAATGTTCACAATTGTTGTTTAAAACATTGTTTATGCACTCAATTGAAAACAATTGGGAAGAAAGCACTGAGCTATGATTTGACCCACTGTTACACAACGGCCAATTAAAAAAATAAAGTAAAACACTAAAACTGCAAGATGATGACAGACAATTAATGGGGTCATATTTGCCACAACTAGATTAACTTTTCTTTCCCAAAAAAAACATGTTTTGTCTTTAAGTAAGCAAAGTAAAAAGAAAACTAAATGCATATTTTAACGCAAGGCACTCAATGTTTTTATTGTTTTTTGGACTTCATGAATCTGCCTCTAGTTCCTGACAAAAGTGATTCTTTGCTCTGGTACAGCAAACCGTTTCAAGTGTTAGCAGTTTTTTGATGCCAGAACTTACTGTGTGGAACCAGAAGGAGTGGGTACTAAGTCAGCAATGGCTCTGTTTTAGCACAACTAAGAACAAGACAAAATCTTGAGTATATTAGGCAGGGAGACTACATAATAAAATTTGCCAAATTGACATCAGGTGAAGACAGACTCTTGAAGGAAGAGGGCCGGCAATGGAAGAGGGGGCGTACCAAAGAGACCATCTTAAGACCAACCAAAACTGGTTTGTTCCACTTTAGAGTAAGCTATTGGGGGAAGAATCAGTTTTGTGTTGTGTATTTCCTTGACTGATGAAGCTTTCTGGATCAAAGGTGAAACGTTTCAGCACAAAAAAAGAAACTGTCCAGATGACCTGACTGAAAAATGTTGGATTGTATACCTGGATTATTGAGCATGGACTTTGTTGATAGACTCTTCAGTCTGTCATTCACCTGATATCAATAACATATCTAAGGTGTTTATCAGAAACACTGTAACTAAATTCAAAGATTTTCTTCTATCATTATTTTCTTTTGTCTTGCAGAGTAATACAGAGCATCTGGTTGATAAATTTACAACTTCTTTGCAAACTTGACTCGATAAAACTGCTCTGCTGAAAAATAAAGTAATCAATCAGAGAAGATAAGCTCCTTGGTTCAATTCTGAGTTACATACTTTAAAACACTCTGGACACACCTGGATTATTGAGCATGCATCAGGATACTTTAAAGCAGGCATCTAGAAAGCTGGAAAGAAAATGGTACTCCACTAATGTTGAAGAATTTTACTTATCTTGGAGAGAAAGCCTGCTAACATATATAAAAGCACTCCATAAAGCTAGAACTTCATATTATTCATCTTTAATTGATGAGAATAAAAATAACCCCCAATTCCTTTTCAGTACCATAGTTAGTCTAATTAAAAATCATATCTCTATTGAACCATGTATTCCAACAGCTATAAGCAGGGATGAGTTCATGAGGTTCTTTATAAATTCAATTATTTCAATTAGGGAACATTTCTAACCAACCATCCTACTATCACCTCTGGTTCTGTGTCAGATAAGACAACTTTAAAAATGTCACTAGAACCTGATTTATGATTGGACTGTTTTTGTCCTGTTGAGCTCTTTGAATTGTCAAAAATAATAGCTTCATCCAAACCACCCACATGTCTGCTAGATCTCATCTCAGTCAGGCAATTTAAAAACATATTTCCCTTAATTAATAACCATATATTGAAACTGCTAAATTATGTCTTTGTTAAATAGTTATGTACCACAGGGTTTTAAGATTGCTGTAATTAAACCTTTACTTAAGAAACACAACCTTGACTCAGGAATCCTAACCAATTAGACATATATCTAATCTAACTTTCATCTAAAAAATTCTAGAGAAAATAGTTACAGGTCAGTTGCGTGATCATCTTCAAATAAATAATCTGTTTGAAGAGTTTCAGTCAGGGTTTAGAGCTCATCATAGTACAGAAACATCACTAGTGAAAGTTACTAATGATATTCTCATGGACTCTGACAATGGACTTGTGTCTATACTGGTCCTGTTAGACCTCAGTGCTGCATTTGATACAGTTGATCACAATATTCGAATACAGAGGCTTGAATATGATATTGGGATTACAGGAACGGCTCTAAATTAGTTTAAATCATATTTATCTGATAGATTCCAATTTGTAAATGTAAATAATGAACCTTCTTCATACACCAAAGTTAGTTATGGAGTTCCTCAGGGTTCAGTGCTTGGACAAATACTCTTTACCTTATATATGCTTCCATTAGGTAAAGTTATTAAATAGCACAGGATAAATTGTTATTGTTATGCTGATGATACACAGTAATATTTCTCCATAAAACCAAATTAATTCAATCAGCTACTTAAACTACAAGCATGTCTTAAAGACATAAAAACCTGGATGACCCTTAATTTTCTGCTTTAAAATTCACACAAGACTGAGGTTTTGGTTTGGTTTTTGAACCTGAGCATTTTAGGAATACATTTTTCAGTTTTTCGCCCACCTTGGTTGACATTAATCTGCCCTCCAGTTCTAATGTTAAAAACCTTGGTGTTATTTTTGATCAGGACATGTCTTTTATCCCCCACATTAAAAACGTTACTAGAACTGCCTTCTTCCACCTGCGTAATATCACTAAAATTAGAAACATCTTATCTAAAAAGGATGTATAAAAACTGGTTCATGCATTTGTCCCATCTAAACTGGACTATTGCAATGGTTTATTATCTGGGTGTCCAAATACTTTTTTCAAAAGTCTCCATTTAATCCAAAATGCTGCTGCCAGAATCTTAACTGGAGTTAGAAGGAGAGATCATATCTCTCCAGTTTTAGCTTCTCTCCATTGGCTCCCTGTCAAATCCAGAATTTAATTCAAAATCTTACTTCTAACCTACAAAGCCCTCAACAACATAGGTCCATCTTATATTTGAGATAACTGCGGACTTTTCATTGGACATTTTTTATTTTTATTATTCCTTCCTCATATGAAATATGTGAAATTAATTTATTTCAGACTCTTTATTTTCCTACGTAAATTCAAATCAGTGAGACAATTCAGTTTTGTTTGGTGTTAATTTTCATGAAGGAGTGTGTGAGTGGCAGATTATTTTTGAAGATTCGGTCGGAACAGCTGATTTTTGTTTATTAAATACAATGCGCTCCACCCACCTGCACTTCTGAGCTGACGTGTCCGAGCGAGTTTTATTTTACTGTTGTTTACAAATTGATCTTTAACATACGCATATTTCTAACCTTAGAAAAATAACTTAAAGAACTCTCTTGTGTGTGTATACGCTCCTATTTAGACAGGAATTTGTTACAGGTGTATTGTACAGCAGTTCCATTCAATGAGAAGACGGCACGTGGTTCTGCTGCAATGATTCTTACCAGTGCACGTTTTTATGCAGATTAAACAGCATTCAGTTCAACGCTCGACTTCTGGTCATCATTAAACAGAACGCAGAGTCAAGAAGAAAAATAAAAACAAACTGACAGGTTGATATTATTTGGACCAAGCTGAATTAATATCCGGCCAAGGTCAGCAAGGTTACACAGCACGGTTTTCTCTTTGCTGGATTTGAATATCCTCAGGTCTGTCCAGCCCCAACCTCTTCATCTCCAGTTTTTCCTCAACAGACATTAAGGAAAAGGGGTTATTTATTAAATAATCTACCTCATTTTTGCTAATATTGCTCGCCATTGTGTCTACTCTGTCTACACCAAGCTGCGCCCACATACACTTGCACTGAGTCACGTTATTGTAGGTCCAACCTCACTGGATGAATCCCTGGGCTGATCAAAATTAGCCCCAATGAGCCGCAAACTGAGGGGGCGTGGCAAGACATCTGTCAATCATTCTGAACCTTGAAGAAACAGTAACAGAACGGAGCTGTCAGAATTTAGCCCTTTGGAATGATCCTGGGATTTTCCCTAGGCGGTTTGACACCAGTTTTGTTGTAAATTTAACAAAATGTGACATTATTTCTAAAATATATTTATTTTTTAGCTGTTATTTTTAAGTTGTTAATTTTAATATCTTTATTGTAAATGCAAGGAGGGAGGGCTTAGCCCTCCTAGCCCACTGACACCAGCCGTCACTGAGTTCTGGTATGATGAAGATGATCTTCATAAAAGCCCAGTTGAGTAATCTGATAGATTTATCAAAAGGCCAGTGGAAGTCTACTTCCAGACCAAGTGAGCAAACTGGGATTTAATATCTCTGTTTTATTGGAAAAATTGAAAAAAATTGGTGCATGAGGCCTTGGCCATAAATGAACATGTGGTAAAAATAGACTATAGAACAGGAAGTCGTGTTTTGCTAATTTTTTGGGACAGGCATTTTGGGTTTTCATGAGCTGTATGCCATAATCATCAGTATTAAAACAATTAAAGACCTGAAATATTTCAGTTGGTGTGCAATGAATCTGAAATATATGAAAGTTTCATTTTTATCATTACATTATGGAAAATAATGACCTTTATCACAATATGCTAATTTTTTTAGAAGGACCTGTATATGAATGTTTCTGTAAAGTGCCCTGAGACAACTTTGTTGTGAACTGGCGCTTTATGAAATAAATGAATTGAACTGAATATTTGAGTCTCACAGTTTCTGTTTTGTGTTCGTCTCTTTTAAATGAAACGCTGTACTTACAGAAGACCACCAGCAGGTGACGGCAGAGACCTTTCAGGCGTTTTATCTGCCGGATTTAGGCAAAGAAGAAGAAAACCCAGAAGTATTAACAAACAGCCGTCTGACAGTACGTGGCTTTAAAATGGTAAGAAATAAAACCTTATTATAAATGAACAGACTAATCATCAAATCAGATGAAAATGACAGTTTTCGTTTTTAAAGGCAGTTGATACAGATTTAATTTGTGAGTTCAGCCTTTAGGAGAACTCACAAATTAAGCTTCTTTTAGCTTCGTTGATTAAAATAAATTGTTCTTATTTAAACCTCTCTTGTAAACTTTGAATTTTAACTTCGTCTCAGTTTAATGTCATTTTCTCAGTTTTAAAACACATTAACTGTAACGAATATTTACTCCCATAATCAGTTGTATTTAATAAAACACTAAAAGTTTTTTAAATGTATTTATTTAAAGGTTTTAGGGAAATATGTTTTTGTAAATTAGTGACAATATTATTGTCAGTCCAGAAACTGAAGCTCAGACTGATTAAAGTTTATTTAAAAACTGTTTAAAGGCACAAAAATAATTTTCATTTAACTTCTTTTCAAATAAGTCAAAGCACAATAATACAAATTTACACTTGATTAAATGTAGATACCTGGATTATTGAGCATGCATCAGGATATCTTTAGATACATTTGTTTAGTTTGACTCTTATTTTTCATGATTTCAAAAAGTCTTGGGTAAAAGTAATGGATTAAAGGGGTAGTTCAACATTTTTCCCTTAAAGAACAGGTCAGAACCAGAAGGAGGAAAATTAAAGAACATTTTGTTAATTTGTTATTTACTTTCATGTGATGTTTTCTTTTTCTCCCGATGGATTCTGACTGAGTCAGCTTTGGGATTTGGACCCGACCTCCTCAGAACCTTTGTCTCAGTTCTTGTCTGTTTTCAGGCCTCGGGAGCGGATCAAACCGTCGGGATGTGTCTGGTTGTTTTCAGCCTCCTGCTCTTCTCCTATTACACAGTGTGGGTCATTGTTCTGGTAAGTTCTGTTGGATCGGCCCGTCTCACACGTCAACTAAATGGAGGAATTGTCATGTCAAAATAAAAGTCTGAATCTCTTCAACTGAAACATGTTTCCTCTCAGATGTCTCATTTCTTCATGGTTCTAAAATAACCATCGACACATTCGGCCATTTAAAGTCCATTTCAGCTGCTGTTTTGTCTTTTTCAGCCTTTTGTGGACAACACTCATGCTCTGCACAGATATTTTCTTCCTCGTGAGTTCTCCGTCATCCTGCCGGGCGTGGCAGCTGTCATCCTGCTGCTCTGCATCGGTCTGGACTCAAACTTTTACTCTGCTACAACACAACCTTTATTTAGTTTCACACCAAAGAAAAAGCTGAAATACGTCATGTTTTATTGGTACCATCTGCCTGCCCGTGACTTCCAGACTAATAAAGATAAATTGTATTTGAAATAAATATCAGAGACTTCATCTGTGTTTGTATGAATTTTTATATTTTTCTGTTAATCAGATGAATTGAGGTATAAACAGATGTTTTCTTCTTCTGTCTCCTCAGCTTCCTTCACCGCCGTCGTCTTGTTGAAGAATCACAAACCAAAGAAAAAAGATTAAAGTCTGAAGGTTTAAAAACCAGAACCGGAGCTCCGTTTCCTCTGAGTCCACCCGGCTTCATGTTTAAAACGTCAACACCTTTTTACTCTGAGTCTGCTCCATTTGAGCTGATTCACTGAAAAGAAAAGGATGTTTTCCTGTCGGACATTTTATTTTCTTCAGGAGCTCCTGAGGTTCAACTTTTTTATTTTCTCACAGAATAATGAACACCTCCTCTCCTCTCATGAAAGCTCTTCATTGTGTCCTGATCAGATGATTAACTGAAGCTGGTTTTATTATTTTTGGTCTTCAGGCTTTTCTGACTCTGAAATCTGTAAATGTTCTCGGATTTGGTTTAGTCTGTTTCAAAGATCCAAAACGTGAACAGAGGACAGGATGCTTGTAAATATTGTCAGAATGTGATCAAATCTCTAAAGGATGTAAATAGGTTCAGTTTTTCACTCGATCTTAAATCTGTGGTTTGTTTGTCACAAAAATAAAATAAAAGTGTAAAACTTTCTGTTGAACTGTGCTGAAGTTGTGTGGTTCTGGACCAGGTCAGTTCATGTGATTAACTGAAGCGTTTAAAAATCACAAACGTTCAAAACTTAAACTTTTGTTGAAATGTTTAAAGTTCAGAAAAACCCAACAAGATGTAAAAAGAATGAAAACTGCAGTTTGAAAGAATATTTTTTGTTGAAGAGTTTAGAGTTTGGCAGGTCCCAGAACAAAAATACAGAATACCATGGTGGACCCTAGACGCCTCCTGAGGGAGGTGCTCTGGACAGGTCCAACTGGGAGGAGACCCTGGGGAAGACCCAAGACACGCTGGACAAACTTAATGGTATGTCTCTCAGCTGGTCTGGGAATGCCTCGGAGTCTGCCCAGAAGAGGTGGCTGGACCTCCCTGATCTGATGCTGCCCCCGAGATCTGGGTCTAGAACCAGAGATGGATGGAAGTTTAGAGTTTTATCACCAAAACCTGCAGCCCTGCAGTGTTTTATCTGCAGACTGGAGTGCTGTTAATTTAAGCAGCCTTCATTCCATCCATCTTTACCTGCTTCTTCCTGTTTGGGTCACTCACTAGTGCCTGTATTCAGCAGTCACTGGACAAGTGGCAGGGACACCCTGGTCCACCACAGGGACACCTGAACAGGTCTCATATCTACCACAGGGATCTGGACAGGTGTCCTGTCAATTGCAGGGACACCTGGACGGAGCTCCAGTCCATCACATGGACACCTGGACAGATTTACTTTCCAGACAAGCTCAATACCTTCTACATGTGGTGTGATGCAAACAACATCACACACGTCACCAGACCACATGTAGGCAGTGAGGACGCCACACTGTTTAGACACTGCTACAGTGAGACAGGCGTTCAAGAAGGTAAATCCTCACGAGGCCCCAGGGCCTAATGGCATCCCAGGACGGGTGCTGAGAGTGTGCGCCGACCGACTCAAGATGTTTACCAACATCTTTAACCTGTCTCTGAGTCAGTGTATTGTGCCCACAGTCTTCAAGACCTTGACTGTTGTCCCCATCCCAAAGACTCTGCAGCATCCTGCCTTAATTATCAAAACTCACATCTGTGCCTCCCTGACACCCTGTACCCCCTAGAGCAAACAGGTCTACAGAGGATGCCACTGCTTTAGCAGTTCACACCTCCCTCAACCATCTGAAGAAGGAAAACACCTATGTGAGAATGTTCTTCATTGACTACTGCTCAGCATTCAACACCATAATCCTCTCCGAGCTGGTCTCCAAGCTCACCACATTGGGCCTGGGGAAGTCCTTCTGCGGCTGGAAACTGGACTTCCTCACCAACAGACTACAGGCAGTGAGAATCGGTTGTCCTCAGCACCGGTACACCTCAGGGCTGTGTCTTCAGTTCACTTCTGTACTCACTATTTACTAGTGTTGTAGTCAAGACAATCTAACCTGAGACCAAGTCAAGACCAGAGTAGACTGAGATTGAGACAAGACCAAGACCGAGGGAGGGTGAGCCAAGACCTCAAGTCTTGGAGCTCAATCTTTTAACAGATTATCAGTCTTATACTATACTGTGACAACATAGTAACAGTTTTAATAAATATGTAAAAAAAAAAAAAAAACATAACTTTGAAAAAAAAATTTTTTTTTAATATAAGTTACATACTAAAACTTTAAGTACATCTGTTGTGTACTGCAGTATTTGTCTGTAGTGCACTCCAGTATTTATCTCTTGTGTATATTTAGCTGCTGTGTACTGCATTATTAAACTTGTGTACTGCAGTATTCATCTTTTGTGTTCTGCAGTATTTATCTCGTGTACATTTAACTGTTGTGTACTGCAGTATTTAACTGTTGTTTACTGCAGTATTTAGCTGTTGTGTACTGCAGGCAGTATTTAACTGTTGTGTTCTGCAGTATTCATCTGTTGTGTACTGCAGTAGTTATCTCTTGTGTACATTTAACAGTTGTGTTCTGCAGTATTCATCTTTTGTGTACTGCAGTATTTATCTGTTGTGTACTGCAGTATTTATCTCTTGTGTACATTTATCTGTTGTGTTCTGCAGTATTTAGCTGTTGTGTACTGCAATATTTTTTTCTGTGTTTGGCAGTATTTAACGGCTGAGCACTGCAGTATTTATCAGTTGTTTACTGCAGTATTTAACTGTTGTGTACTGCAGTATTCATCTGTTGTGTACTGCAGTATGTAACTGTTATGTACTGCAGTATTCATCTGTGCAGTATTTAACTGTTGTGTTTTTCTTACTTTCTGTCTTTCTGTCTGGTTATGTTCTGAAACTGTGTACTCAATCCGGGCCATTCTCTGGGTGTTTCCACATACTCATCGACCCATCAGTCTGCAGACACGTGATCTGGATCCCCAACAGCTGAGTCTTCCACTACAGAGCAGCACAGATCATCTGGGACCGTATGGTACCACAGACCCTCCGAACATCTCTGGGACCATCTGAGGTGAGTCAAAACTTATATTTGAAGATGAACTGATTAGGTTATGAAGCAGCTGAAGTGGATTTTTTATGTGTCTTCAGATGTTTCAGCTGCTGTTTTAGCTGTTTTTATCAGCTGAAATTTGAGCATTTATTAAATTCTCTTAAACTACTGCAGTAAAAAACATTGGACTCAGCAGTCAGAGGACGTCCTCACTTGGTCGTTGTCTCCATCTGCTGCAGGATCAAGTCTACTCGGATCTGATTTAAAGGAGTTATTTTATTCTTCAAAGTTGTTTCTCCAACTATCATTTTTATTTTAACATTCTTAATTATAGCTCACGCATGGTCCATCAGGACAGGAAAGACGTGTCCATCAGGACAGAAAGGGACATGCCCATATGCACAGAGAGAGACATGTCCATCAGAACAGAGAAACCTGTTCATCAGGACAAGAAGATAGGTGTGCATCAGGTCAGAAACAGACATGTCCATCAATTCAATTCAGTTCAATTCAATTCAGTTTATTTATCTAGCACCAAATTTGGCACAAAGTTGTCTTAGGGCACTTTACAAAAACATTCATATACATGAATTGTGCTACTGTTAGTCGAAGACCACAAGGAGGGAAACGTGTCAGGAGACAGAGGGAGAAGAGGAAAGGGAAGAATTTAGGACTGAGGGTTGCAACTCTAAATGTGGAGACAATGACAGGCAAAGGTAGAGAGCTGGCTGACATGATGCAGAGAAGAAAGGTAGATGTTTTATGTGTCCAAGAGACAAAGTGGAAGGGCAGCAAGGCTGCAGCAGTGGAGCAGGGTTCAAACTGTTTTACCATGGTGTGGATAGAAAGAGAAATGAAGTATGGGTGGTCCTGAAGGAAGAGTTGGCAAAGAATGTAGTAGAGGTGAAGAGAGTGTCAGATAGGGTGATGTGCCGGAAGGTAGAAGTACAAGGTCTGATACAACCTGTGGTTATGCTCCACAGGTTGGATGTGATGAAGAAAGATATCCATCCATCCATCCATTAGCTTTACCTGCTTATTCCATTTTGGGTCACGGGGGTCGCTGGTGCCCATGTCCAGCAATCACTGTGCGAGGGGCGGGGTACACCCTGGATGGGTCACAAGTCCATCACAGGGCCACATAGAGACAAACGAGACAAACAACCATTCACTCTATCACTCACACCTAGGGACAATTTAGAGTTACCAATTAGCCTAACATGCATGTTTTTGGTCTGTGGGAGGAAACCGGAGTACCTGGAGAAAACCCACCCATGCATGGAGAGAACATGCAAACTCCACCCAGAAGGTCCCTGGACCGGGGTTTGAACCAAAGACCTGCTCGCTGAGAGGCAGCAGCTCTACCAGTTGCGCCACCGTGCTGCCGAAGAAAGATATATTTTTGGAAAAATCTGGATGAAGTGATAGAGAGTATTCCCAGGGAGGAGAGAGTGGTGATTGGAACAGACCTGAATGGACATGTTGGTGAAGGAAACAAAGGGGATAAGGAAGTGATGGGCAGGTTTGGTGTCAAGGAAAGAAACCAGGAAGGACAGATGGTGGTAGATTTTGCCAAGAGAATGTAAATGGCTATAGTCAATACCTATTTCCAAAAGAGGGAGGAACATAGTGTGCCCTATAAGAGTGGAGGAAGGAGTATGCAGGTCAACTACATTATGTGTAGAAGAGGAAACCTGAGGGAGATTGGAGACTGTAAGATTGTGGCAGGGGAGAGTGTGGCCATACAACATCGGATGGTTGTGTGTAGAATGATTGTTGTTGTGAAGAAGAGAAAAAGAGTAAAATCAGAGAAGAAGACCAAATGGTGGATGCTGAAGAAGAAAGAATGTTGTGAGAAATTCAGAGAGGAGCTGTTAAAGGCTCTGGGTAGTAAGAAAGAGCTAGTAAGAAAGAGCTTCCAAATGACTGGGCTACTACAGCAACAGTAATTAGAGAGACAGGTAGGAAGGTACTTGGTGTGTCATCTGGACAGAGAATGGATGATAAGGAAACCTGGTGGTGGAATAGTGAATTGCAGAACGCCATTCAAAGAAAGAGTTTAGCCAAGAAGAAATATG